ATTTGGCCTATCTGGAATTATCCGGATAACTCAGATATGGATAAATGGATGATGGATTTATCCGGATTGAATCTCTAGTTCTCAAGCAGTACGCTCGATGCGATTAGCTAGTGATTGAGATAATGCCCAACCATTATGACGTTACTAATTAATTTTGAGAACAGATAGTATATTATTGCAAAATTCTTACGTTCTTCCTCAATGTGATTAATTTATAATCGTGTTTGTGCTCAAGTATTACGATTAATTAAAATATTGATTGCAATTGATGCTTGAGCAAACATTTTCATCATTATTACTATTTAGCGATTACTGTTTTACAAATCGAAATGGAAATGATGGATCGACAAAAGGATAAAGCAATCTACGACACTTCCAAATTCTGTTTCTTCTTTTTCAGAATTTACACAAACCTACGGAACACAAAAAAGTGCCTTTTTATTTGCGGCGAAAATTTTTAACATAAGTAATAAAGTAATAATTCGTCGACGTTTGTAATTATTTAGAAAATCTATACCAATAATGATAATACAAAGAGAGTGAAGTTGCTTGATCAATTATTTTTTCTAATCAATCAATGAAAAATTCGACCAATAAGCGCAACTCTATGATAAAAAAAGGACGTTTGGGCTTCTATCTCTTGTTGATTGAAATGACAAATGCCCTTGATCGGTTAAACGAACTTCCGCTAATTAAATTTTTCTAACATTTTAAACTTTCATCAAGTGTTTTATTCATTGAAATAATCAATACAATTGATTCGTTAACCTATTTTTTTTTTTTTACTAATAAAACTTTACCCTTAGACCCGTTCCGACAGCTTGATTAAGGTGTTAGGACATTTAAGAACAAGGAACCCAGTGATCATCACATCCCGTGAAGTCATGTAATTACGTCATTTGTTTACTAGCACTAAACAAATTAGCCTAAACTAACCTATCACCTAACCATAACACTAACCCTAACGTAGGCCGAACACTTAATCATGTGATGTGATTACCATGAAGATATATCACTGGTTCCTTGTTCACGTTAAAAAAAATAATGATCACAAATAAATTTTTATTAATTAGATAAAAATTATTTATGTTCACAAATATGAACATAAAATAAAAGATTGTGATTTCTTAAAAAATTTATGATCACTGTGAACACCGTGAACATATGATTCCTAACATTGCTTCTGAGTTAAATTACGAACCAATTTGTTTAAAAGAAGGTAAAGCTGTAATGTTTGTTCCCTCATGATCATCATGTAAAATATTTCCTATATGAAGGTCATCATGAACTAATCCAGCTTTATGAATAGCATTAAGACCTGTTGTTATGTGGTTTAACATTTATTCCATGATAATGCATTAGGATTATTTTTTAATAACTACAAAGATTTCCATGTTTTGCATATTCTAGAACTATCATAAAACTATTGGTATTTGAATCCTTAGTTAATCCGTAACATCATATGGTACATTTTCCATATTCTATATTGATGTACGACTTAACCTGGAGATTTATTTTTACAAAAAAAAGCAAGTCAACTTATATACATTAAAACTTGTATTCAATAATAATTATCATATACCTCTTGTAAAAATTCTACAAACTTATGAAAATTATCCAGGTATTTCAAAGCTACTATCATCTCACTGCTTCTATTCTATTGTTTTTTTCGATAATCCCAATTTTAATATATCCGTCGACCAATGTTGCTGAATATACTTTACCAAATCCACTCTGTCTAAATATTTAATATCTTTAAGCTTATCAAATTGAATCCATTCTAAAACAATCGTAGTTATTTGATGCTTTTAGCTGAGTTTCTCGAATGAATCTATCAATTATTTCATTTTCACTTGTCCATTTTACAAAATTTTTTTCAAAGTGGAGCATGTTACATTTTTGGCACCAGTTTTATTTGTATTTAAATTATTACGTTCTTTGCATATTTTTAATCCTGATCTTAAATACCATTCAAATGCTTTTTTTTATCCTTGATAGTTCCTATTCCATTCTCATAATAAAATCCAATCTGATATTGTCCATCAGAATTATAATTTTCAGCCGATTTTCGAATGCTTTTTTCGTCCTTAATGGTGCCTATGACATTTTTATAGCAGAATCCAACATTAAGTTGTCCTTTCGAATTGCCACCTTCAGCAGATTTGAAATACCATTCAAATGCTTTTTTTTCATCCTTAGTAGTTCCTATGCCCCTCTTATAACAATATCCAATCTGATATTGTCCATCAGAATTACTACTTTCAGCAGATTTTAAATACCATTAAAATGCCTTTTTTTTCGTCCTTAATGGTACCTATTCCATTTTCATAAAAGAATCCAGCATTAAGTTGTCCTTTCGAATTGCCACCTTCAGCAGATTTGAAATACCATTCAAATGCTTTCTTTTTCATCCTTAATAGTTCCTATGCCCCTCTTATAGCAATATCCAATCTGATATTGTTCATCAGAATTACTACTTTCAGCAGATTTTAAATACCATTTTAAAATGCTTTTTTTTCGTCCTTAACGGTACCTATTCCATTTTCATAAAAGAATCCAGCATTAAGTTGTCCTTTCGAATTGCCACCTTCAGCAAATTTCAAATACCATTCGAATGCTTTTTTTTTTTCATCCTTAGTAGTTCCTATGTCCCTCTTATAATAATATCCAATCTGATATTGTCCATCAGAATTACTACTTTCAGCAGATTTTAAATACCATTAAAATGCTTTTTTTTCGTAGTTATTCCATTTTCATAAAAGAATCCAACATTAATTTGTCTTTTTGAATTGCCACCTTCAGCAGATTTCAAATACCATCAAACGCTATCTTTTTATCCCTGGTAGTGCCAATGCCGTTGTCATGTTAAATTGTTCGCAAGGGTTACCACCTCGGCAGATTTCAAATACCATTCGAATGCCTTTTTCATCTTTGGCAGTGCCTATGCCTTTGTCATAACAAAATTTCAGATTTAATAGTTCATTCGAATTGCCACCTTCAGCAGATTTTGAATACCGTTCAAATGCCTTATTTTCATCTCCGGAAGTGCCAATACCATTCTTATAGCAGAATCCAAGATTACATTGTCCAAAAGAATTACCACCTTCAGCAGAGTTCAAGTGCCTTTTTTTTCATTTTTGTACGTGCCTATGCCGTTTATGTAGCAGTTTCCGATATTATATTGTGCTTTAGAATCGCCATCTTCAGCAGATTTCAAATACCATTCAAATGCCATTCAAATGCCTTTTTTTCATCCTTGGTTGTGCCTATTCCATTTTCATAGCATATTCCTAGATTGTTTTATCCATTCGAATTGCCGCCTTAAGCGGATTTCAAATACTATTCAAATGGCTTTTTTTTCATTCTTGATTGTGCCAATTCCGGTTTTGTAGCAGAATCCAACATAAACTTGTCCTTTTTGAAATGCTACTTTCGGCAGATTTTAAATACCATTCAAATGCTTTTTTTCATCCTTGGTTGTGCCAATTCCGTTTTCGTAGCAGAATCCAACATAAGTTTGCCCTTTTAAATTGCCACTTTCGGCAGATTTTAAATACCACTCAAATGCCCTTTTTTCATTCTTTGCTGTACTATACCATTTTTATAGCAAAATCAGGTATTTAATTGTCCTTCCGAATTGACACCTTCAGCTGATTTCAAATACCAGTCAAACGCCTATTTTTCATCCTTGGTTATGCCTATATTCTTTTTTTTCGTCTTTAACTGAACCTATGCCATTTCTGTAACAGGATCCAACTTTAAATTGTCCAGTTGAATTGCCATCTTTAGCAGATTTCAAAGACCACTCAAATGCTTTTTTTTCATAATTGATTGTGCTAATTCCGTTTTCGTAGCAGAATCCAACATAAACTTGTTCTTTTGAATTTCGGCAAATTTTAAATACCATTAAAATGCTCTCTTTTCATTCTTTCCTGTACCTATTAGTGTTTCGGGCGAAACCCGAATTTGCAGATCATTTGCAGATCAAATTGGGCAAAACTGGGTTTCGGACTTATAGGGCGAAATTAAAATTACTCTGGGCGGAATATTTCAGATTTGGAAAATAATTTCGCCCGAAGCACTAGTGCCTACACCATTTCTATAAGAAAATCTGGCGTTTAATTGTCTTTCCGAATCGCCACCATCAACAGATTTTAAATACCAGTCGACCGCCTTTTTTTCATCTTTGGCTATACCTATGCCAATTTTCATAAAAGAATCCATTAAATTGTCCGTCAGAATTGCCATCCTCGGCTGATTTCAAACACCACTCTAATTCCTTTTTTTTTTATTCATGCTACAAATACAGTAATGAATAATGGCTTTACGTATTTTATAATAATTAAAGTTGTAGAAAGCAGATTTTTGCGACATTGTAGTTATCCAAATCGATAATTTAAACTAGTAGTTATCTGATCGATTGGTAAAAATTGTTGATTGATTGGTTATATGTGCACAAGAAACGTGTGGCTATTTATTTGACCAAATAAATTGCTGACGACTAATCGCTTCGAAAAAATTTAATATGATAGGGTGAAACCCGCGACAGAGATAGTTTACGTCGTTGATGCAGATCTTACTTAGTTAGGGCTAGTGATAGGTTAGTGCGAGTTTCCTTATGTCAAGAAAATGATCTACATCCGATATAACACCCAATTTTGATAATATTATATCCATATATT